ACAAGAAGGCACCAAATAGATATGCGTCGCACAAGTCACTTGATTTCTGTGTGGGCTGTGATACGACCTAGGTGCTCAGACCGAACCAGGTGATTCACTGATAAGTCTTGCTAATTGAACGCTATATTCCGTTCCTAAGCTATTCTCATAACCCACAAACTAGAACTACACAGCCACCTAAACACTAGAGAAAAGGCGCAAAATATTCGTTTTAGTAAAGAAAATATAGGGTTTTAATCATATTTTAGATGTCTTTGGGTTTTCCGAAAATTCTGGAATGCTACTAAACATAGTAGCAGTATGGTAATCAGTCAATCAGAAACTCTACATGTGACTTTTCACATTCTTAATGTTTCTGGCTAAACTTCAAGTGAACGCTGATTGGATAAAATGCTTTTTAGTGTGTTCTGAGCATTTCTTGTCTTTTGTGAGAAGTTTTCTGTATCACCCAAACATTTTCTTAGGAGGGCACACATAGAGCTTTTGACGTAAAGGTCCAATCCACAAGACAGTGGAGCAACGTCAGGGGATACAGTCTCATGGTAACCGGTGACCATTAATTGGTTCTTACGCCATTTGTTCCCTTAGGATCCTTGAGCCTATGTTCACAATTAGTTTGGAATCAGGGATTTCCAACTCCCCTAGGTGAACTCTGTGTCCACCAATCCGGTTAAAGCGATGGACATTCGTTTTTCGTCCTCTCAATTTCGTAAACAACAATAATACCGCAGTGAGTATGACTTCCCTGGTAGTGATTGTATCCACGTGGCCATGTGAGAGCATTTGGAGAGGAAGAGTTGACTTTTCTTACTCTCGGCTGTACCAGGGCACTTGAGGGCACTTAAGTAAACTATATTAATGAATTGGAAATTTTAAGATTTATCAGTGTTAATTCTTTCAGATAAGATCCATATAATTTGTGACAACTGCTTAGCTTCGTGAGGGAATTCTCGGAGTTCTAGTGAGAAGCCGTGACCAGTGGAGCTAATCCTTGTCGGGTAGAGACAGTTATCTACTTAGGTACAATGGAAGTTGGTCGCGCAATTTCGTGGATTGGTTGGTGTTAGAAACTATCACCATTGGATGCCGGCTCAGTGGTCCAGTTGGTTAAGCGTTCGCGCGCGAGACCGAAGGCCCTGGGTTCGAACCCCGCTCGCGGGATCGTGGATGCGCACTGCTGAGGAGTCCCACAATAGGACGAAACGGCCGTCCAGTGCTTCCAGGTTTTCAATTGTGATGGTCTAACATCAATTGGTTCAAGATCTCAATCAAAAACTTAATAATCTCCACAACCCCTATACTAGTAATCAACATGTGCTCACTAGTGACTAGCTTCGTGAGGGAATTCTCGGAGTTCTAGTGAGAAGCCGTGACCAGTGGAGCTAATCCTTGTCGGGTAGAGACAGTTATCTACTTAGGTACAATGGAAGTTGGTCGCGCAATTTCGTGGATTGGTTGATGTTAGAAACTATCACCATTGGATGCCGGCTCAGTGGTCCAGTTGGTTAAGCGTTCGCGCGCGAGACCGAAGGCCCTGGGTTCGAATCCCGCTCGCGGGATCGTGGATGCGCACTGCTGAGGAGTTCCACAATAGGGCGAGATGGCCACCTAGTACTTCCAAATTTCCAACGGTGGTCTAACATCAATCGGTTTATGGTCTTAATCAACAACTCCTTAATTGTTGACTTATTAACTACCTGATTCTCATAAAAGATATTTTGCAACTTAATCTCTTTTTGTTGTATTATTTCTATTTTGTAGATTATTGATTACATCAACTTAGAGGGTGAAAAATGGTTATTAAGTGTACCACCATATAACTAATTATTCAATGCCTATTTACAAATAATATTGGAGAGATACATATTTTTTAGATTTCCGGTGAAAACTTATTATCTATTGAAATTACTAGTCGATAAACAATGACAGTTATTTCTTCGGTGAAATATATATGTATACGACAAACAGACTCTAATAACGAAGTCTTGTTAAAAAAGGTCCTCTTTCTTTTAGACAGTTTGACTAACTCAATTTACAACTTCACATCAAATAAGATTTGAGTATATCTGTAGTAATAATAAACACTAAGTGAATTCTCCATGTCAAACACTTACATCGGTATAAAATGTTCCTTCTCAAAAAATAAGAAATATAATTAGAAACTTGTCAGTTTTTATTATTATATTGCTTACAAGTGAAATTATGTAAATTTCAGTATTAAAAATATTTCCTGTTTTATTTAAAATGGAATAGTTTTGAGATGAAACAAAATGGATGGATTAGAAACTGATAATTATTAATCAATAGTTGAGATCATGGGTTAATTGAAGTTAGACCACCATGGAAAACCTGGAAGCATTAGGCGGCCGTTTCTTTCTATTGTGGGACACCTCAATAACGCGCATCCCACAATGGGACGAAATGGCTGTCCAGTGCTTACAGGTTTTTCATGGTGGTCTAGCTTTAATTAACTCATGATTTCAACTGTTGAAATTACTACAATCTCCACAAAACCCCTCCTGAAACTAATTATTAATCAATTTAAAAGTATTTCATTTGTTATTTTTCAACAGTGTATACTTTTCATCTATTAAATAAGATCAACTTAAGAACTGAAGATGTTTAGTTTGTATGTGTAGTGAGTGAAGAATTGGTGGGGAAAGCTAATTTACTATTTAATGCAAAATTACAATGCTTTCATAAAATATGAAAACTAAACATTAAATATATTATTTGAACATCTTCCATTAGTTGTCTTTTACATGCTTCCTGATTCTTTCAATTCTGTTGTTATTACAATAACTTTCTGTTTCCTTTTTTTGTTTTCTTCAATTATATCTTTTCAATCTTCTGATAGCATGTATTCAACTTCCGATTGGTGTTACATACTACCTATATTTGTCGATATAAGTAGCATACACCACATACGTTATAATTACCTGTGATTCTGTCTAGTTACGTCATTCTAATCAATAAAATAAGCACATATGAGACCTAATTTAATGGTGAATTCGGACATAAATCGAGTAATAAATAAAACTTTTCAAATATCCATCTGAGTGTCTATTGATCGCTACAATAAATTCTCTCTCAAATTGGTTACAAAGCAGAATTTTCAAATAGTACAAATGAGTCAAATTTATGATCACACACATCCCTTCAGTTGATCATTTATAAATTAGTTAACTGAACATCAGTCAGAATATGTTTAAGCTTTTTAACCAAAATCGAAGATAAATTATTTGTAACCGAACTGACTTGGACAAGATGGATTTCTTTTAGAATGCTAATTTATTTTTGATGGTTTAGAGAAGTTGGTCCCTACTTCTTTTATAGATAGAATTTAATAACGTAATGGTTGCTAATTTGAACGCTTTATTCGGTTCCTAAGCTATTCTGGTAACCCGCAAGTTAGAACTACGTAGCGATCTGAACTCGAGAGAAAAGGCGCAAATAAGAGAAAAACACTTTACTCCACAGGTTCATTTTTGTACAAAAAAACATGGGTATTTATAGATGTTAACATTTGTTAAATCAACATCATATTTTGGCCAATCCGCTAAAAGACATATTATGCTACTGACCAATAGTAGCACACCACATTGATATTCTAGAAAGCTCCATCACGCTCTGATTGGCTAGGACTCTTCGACTCATTTAGGGCCTCTGGAGGTTTCGTTGCAGTTCTCAGAAAGTCGACTCAACATCTGACAAAAATACACTGAATTCAAGCTAAATTTATTAGACGAAATTTACCAGCAGTATGTGACACATATTAGCATAATACATCCCGAACACTTTGATCATATATTAGATTATTGCAGTATTTACACATGATAAAGTCAAAACTACATAGATCGGAAGAAAAGAAAAACAGATAATAAAGTAACATATTATGAACAACACCAGTCTAGATAGGTTCAGTATATGTACAAACTTTCTTGAACACTAAACGGAAGTTGGGAGGTTTCAAGAAACAGATATTCGCCGTTGGCGGCTCGTTTACAAATGATAAAGGTTGAGATAGGATCAGTCTGGTGACCTATTTTAACCGTGTTTTAGGACGGGAGATGAGTGTTATTCATCTTAACTTATTGGGTCATTTGAGTATATTTGCCAACGCAGACAAGTTAATATATGTTCGGTCACCCTAACTTGCAAATCACGATTACTCAATTCTGTGTGTATGTCCACATACATGTAAATTGGTAAACACAGTTAGATATGACCTTATCGTTTACATACTGTTTATGGTTTGATGAACATAATAAGAAGTGATCGTGTAATCAAATTGTAAGAAATGTTTTGTGTTCTGATAAATCTCGTCTACTCATTGAATTTTCGAACTGTTTTATAACTAATAATTTATTGCGTAGACTATGAACATTAATTTATTATGAAAATGATATTAATCATGTACTGAACATTGACTTAAGTACCGTGGATTCAATGATTTGTTAATTGATATCAATCTAATAACCATAAAATATCTTCACACTTATTTTTAATTTAAATAACCGAAAACTGTCAACAATATACATAGTATAGTTTGGTTGTTTGAACCTTCCCACTGATGTTTAGAACTGCAATTGATCAACCTCTTATTGACATATGTACATCCTGTTCGGATTGTCATTATATTGCCTTCAGTCAGAAGCATTATAAGCATACTTTAGTTCTAAACATCTGTGGAAAGATTCAAACAACAACAACTTCACCCTGTTGCACGAGCTAGTGAATATCTGAACTAAGTAGCTAAGTGGATAATGCGATGGCTTTTGAAGTCCTGGCGTGAGCATCAAATCTGGGATGCAAGTACATCCAGCTGCTGAGTCCTGGATTCTACTGCTAGCCACAATCTATCTCTGTTTATAATCTACATAGTGGTTTTTACACTATGATCCTATTATTCTGTAGAAATTTTATAACTCAAATTGTTTTTTTTTTATATCATTCCACTCCATTCATTCATGCTTGTTTCTCTTCTTCAATGAAATCAGAATTGATGTCATCATTGTATTACAATGGAATTCAACTGTTCAATTATCATTAAATAACTTGTTCAATGAAATTGTTAGCAAACAATTCATATTTGAAAAGTGCACATGTTTAATTCTACCAACGATATGTCAATTGAAACATATTCAATTCAATTCACTTCAACATAAATTAATAAAATCTTCAATGATCAAGAATGATGAAATTAAAGAAATGATCTGGTTACAAATTGCATTGAAATTAGGACTAACAGTTTTACAAGTTCCTAATGGAAATAAATTTTGGACAAGATTTCAACATACACAATCAATGAGTTCATCACCTTACGTTATATAATAATAATCAATCAATACAGAAAACAAATTGTAATAGTGAATTACTCAAACGAAATTTATTATTATATGAAAAATTTGGAGTAGGAAAATTGAAAATATTACCTATCTCAACTGGATGTGTTGGTAAGTTATCAAGGTGATGAAATTTGTGAGTTTTACAAATTGTCCAAGATACTCTCATGAAAGATCGGTTTAAATTGTATTTCATGTTTTGTCTAATTGGCAAATTTAAATGAGATGGTGGTTGGAGGTAGCTCAGTGGTAACGTACCTGACTGTGAAGCTGGGTGACACGAGATCGAATCCGCCAGTGAGCACCAGTTCCCTCAAGATTACAGGTACACCTTGCTGACGAGTGCCAAGTAGCACGAAACCCGGGTTCAGGATTTCCTGTCGACTACCTCCAACCACCATCTAATCTCAATATATAGTGCCCGCAGTGTCAAGTCACCAAGACTGATGGCCACACTGCATCATGATCGATAGCGTTCGATCTGCACTAATAAGGACCAGACACGCATGACATTGATCGCCACCCAGTGATCAATCAATTGTGATGAAAAATTCAAAATTTTAATTTATTGCTTTTGTTTTAGAGGAATAAACGTCTATCTATAATTTCAAGCAAGTCATTTTGTAGCTTACCTTTTCCATTTAAGCACAGTCCTAATTCAGTTTTGAGGACACCTATAAACTATACAGAGGAAAAATGAATAGCAATTATTCACTAGAGAAAAAGAGGAACCATCTTCGACACTACGCTCCATCAGAGATAATCGTCAATATCATCCGGAATTCATAAGATGGACTACACTGAAAAGTCGTGCATGGAGGGCAGTTCACAGATGACCGGTGTCAGACAGGGTTGCTTACTTTCGTCCTTTCTCTTTCTTCTCATGGTCGAATGGATGGTGAAGACCACATCTCAGGGGAATGACAGAATACAATGCTATTGAGATGGTAGACAAGATTTGCAGCTTGGGTGGATGGTATTAATGGAGTTTCGTTCTCTGAGCTGAATGATCTGGTCATGGAGCTTTCAGTTTTATTTTGAACAACATCATCAGCATAAATCTCAGGTAGCATCATCGATGAGCTAGGATGATCTGATACTGATCTGAAGACACAGATTAACAAGGCTAGTAACGGCAGTATCCCTATAGTTGAACAACATATGGAACTCACAACAACTGTCTCCAAACCATCATCAAAGTGGCAATCTTCAATACGAATGTCAAGACAGTCATACTGTACGGAGCCGAAACTTTGAGAACTACGACAACCATCATCATAATGTACAAGTATTTATAAACAGTTGTCTACTCAAGATACTTAATATTCGTTGACCGAATACCATCAGCAATAGCCTACTGTGGGAGAGAACAAACCAGCTTCCAAATGAGGAGGAAATGGGGAAAAAACGATGGGGGTGGATAGGATAAATATTGGGGAAATCATCGAACTGCATCACAAGGCAATTTCTAACGTGGAATCCTGAAGGTAAAAGGAAAAGAAGAAGATCAAGAAACACATGGTGTAGGGAATTGAAAGCAGGCATCAAAAGAATGAATAGAAATGGGAAACAAGTGGAAAGGATTGATCACGACAGAGTTCGAAGGAGAATGCTGGTGGTTAGCCTATCCTCCTTTATGAGGAGTAACAGGTGTAAGTAAGTAACTAGAGTGAAAATGCAATAACTTGATTTCTTGTAAGGTGTATGTCCCTTTAGATTTATAAATTACAGGCATATAAATCGAAGTCTTATAAACTACGTTAGTAAATGTCCGTTCACTTTTAGCAAATTGTAAACTACTATCAGTCTAGGGATTGTGATCACTTACACCATCACTTGATGAAAGTGAGTGAGGCACAAATAAAAAATTGGCTGACTTGATGCACCACGGGCAGCAAAACCCTTAAATAACCAAGTAATAAGCCACCTCGTCTACTATTTTTAGGATTTAAGGGCGGCCTGTTACGCGGCCAGCCACAAGCAAGAGAAATTTGATTTGTTACTTCAGCCTGAGAGCAACGATCTCATAAAAACAATCAACATTCGAACGAAATCACTATTTGCAAATGTATTCATTTGTATTCAAACAATGTAATATTGCTATTTAAAATTACAAAGCATTACCTAATTTTGTTTTATAAATGATACTTGTCATTAAATAAGCTTGAAATTGTCAAAACTTTTGACTTTAATATACTACTTGTAAATTTACGATAAGTAATATATAGTGTTGGAATAAATTTCTTTATACTCAGATGTTTGAATTTCACTGAACTTCGTATTTCTTAAGAAGCTAATCGCCTAGAGTATTCTGTTGTCACAACCTATCAGTAAAACATTGGAATGTTTAACATTAATTTGTGAAACACGTGCGTTTATTGTCCAGTTAACATCAGGTCTTGATGTGTACGGATGAATTATCATATAAATTTGTTTATCTTTTTATCTATCAACCAGAAGGATACCTTAAAGATAAGTGCAAGTGAAATAATCACTGTTATAACTTTTTTTTAAACTTTTTTCGTTAATTTAGCTAACCATGGCTTATCTTATAGTGTATTGTTTACATGGATCCCTTATGAAATACAATTGTCCAACATAACAGAACATCATAAGAATTATGCCAAAGTATTTTTCTATTCAGTAACATTAGATTCAAAAAAAGGAAATGATTCCGTCAATGAAAAGCAATTAGTTTACCATGGAATTGAAACTGAACAGAAGTTAAATAATGAATCTATTACAATTACAAAATCACTTGTACAACAATTGATACGATATGTTGGAATGAACTGTTCAATTAATAAGAAAGGAATTACAGAACATGGTAAATTTGTTTGATCTACTTGAATCAAACTGATGTTTTGTAGTAAAGAATAATTTTTCAACGTTTTTTATTCATATAGAGGATCGTAGAGATTATTAAATGAGATTGATATCACGAACCGATCTAATTTAGACACTTATTAAAAACTAGGAAACATTGGATTGCTGGTTCATTCTTGTATGGGACTCCTCTGGGGTGACCATTCACGAACATAAGACCTTCGTTCTAGCGTACGAACGCTTAGTCTCTTGAAAGATTTCTAACTCAGCTAGGTTCGTGATATAGAAAAACGTTTTGGTATTCATTATATAGTCAGAATTAATCATAATTTATGCAAAATATCCACATGAATTGAATAGTAGATCAAGGACAGTTTAATGTTTCGACATGTAAAGTACACCTAATGTTATGACTGGTTATACAGTCCTCAATGTATGTAGTGGAAAAAATCTCATACTGTGTTTAAATATTATGATTAACATTATTCTTAATCCGAAATTAGTGAAACTCTCGTTAAATACAGAAATTTTGCAAAAACAGCGTCCAATGAATAATAACCAATGTGTTGCTGACTAGGTCCCAGTGTTGATTAACGTTAGTCAGTCTATTTAAACCTGTTTTACCTCAGTTATATGAGAATCACATTCGAATTTTTGAGTGATTATTAGTTTCCGTCAAATTTCCAATACCTCTCAATCACTACTATTCAGGGAATAAGAATTTGTTTAAACCGCTACCTCCTTTTTGTCTAGCTAATTAAAGTGATTGATAATAGAACAAAAATTAAGGCAAGTATTTTCAAGACTCAGTATTCAAAGTTAGAACGCTACAAAATGAAAACTTACTGAAAAATTAAAATACAGTTTCCTCTGAAAATGAAAATGTGTCGTCAGAAACGTGTGATCTGTTGGTTACCGTAAACGCCATCGAGAATACAAGTTTAGAAGCTACCAAAGTTTTACTATTGTGTGAAATAATTCCCATCCATTCCAGCTCAACATAATTTTGATACTTTTGTTTTAATCAAGGAATATTCGTTGTTCCTAATTTGGGCTTAATAAGAAAGACTTTTATTCAACAGCTGATAAGACTTACATTCGAGATTATGTTAGATCTATTTCAAATAGGTGGTTTGTAGGGAATTTGAGATCAGAGGAAAATGTTTTTAATCAGGAGCTGATATTAGTCAGAGAAGCACCGACAACAGGACATCACTAGGGTAGCCGTTTCATTCGAAATTGTAACCGGATTGTAGTGCTCACCTAAGAATTAAACGAGACTAAACCGGTGACTTTCAGATTTTGACATAAAATGTGTATATAATGTCAAGTCCGAATCTAATGCTTCATATTTTCAACTCTATTCAGTCTACGCAATAGATTATTGTGATTATTATAAATAGTACTAATATTTCGGCGAAACGTTTTCATGCTGAAATCAATTTCTAGATGGTGGAGAAGATTTGTAGCTCAGGTGGATGATATGGATGGAGTTTTGTTCTCTGAGCTCAGGGAACAAAACCCCATCTAAATCAACTTTTGCAATGAATTACCATCTTTAATAATTAAGCTTAAAATTCCTCATCTCTTTTCTGCTTGATTTTTTATAAATTCACTGATTTTTATGGTATAGATGTGACTTATTCTCAGTCGAAAATAACTCGGTCAAAAACATTCACCTCAGGCTTAAATCCACCAAAACGTACAATTTATACAAACGCAGTACGTTCGACAACCAATCCAATTTTAAGGTTGGTAAATTATATTTATTCACATAGTATTTGTTTCAAAGTATTTATTTTAAACTTGTTTAAATTAGTGAGGTTTCATGAGTACGCTAGGAGATCTTCTGATTGACAGTCCACTGATTCGTAATCTCAGTTAAACTTACGGCACCTCTCTACACATAAGCATGTTTACATTTAGTTCTGTCATGTACTTCAGTTAACTTATTTAACAGACAGTGCTATCCGAACAGTAACAATTTATATATCTTGGTATTATTATTATCATGTCTTCATGAACATGTACTCTTGATCACATGTTACGGGTTAGCTCATATCCATCTCACCTAGCTTAAATGTCAGTTGCTTAAAATGCTTGATCAATCATTCGCTTTCCCATATACATGTACTTAAATCTTATTAATTCATTCGACTCTTAAATTACCCCTTTATTCGCTCACTTGCATTAACACTTCTTCCTGAATTGGCTATGCGTACTTTTGGCTTAGTGATCTGTGCTGTTCAATGATAAACCATGGTCGGCGCCTCGTATTTCCTTCTGAATTTATACACCGTTGGAATTTATTTAATAATGGCTATCAGGGAGATTGATATATTAAGCCTTGAGAATTATTTCGAAGATAATCCACTACAAACTTTAACTTAATTTAATTATCGACAAACAGCTGATCAGTTAGTGCCATCCAAAGTAGGAGCGTCGATTATCTTAACTAATTTGACTTCAAGTTGGCTTACTGATGGTAACTAATAATATATTCAAGTTTTAAGGATTAATGGTAATTTGTAGTTGAGAAGAGATAATATAACTAATGAACTGAGAGAAGTAACACACATTAGTTATCAGAATTTTAAAATCCGTTTCAGGAACAAATGCTGGAGTTTCTGACCGTTCAATAACCTATCTGTAAGCATAATCCACTTATAACTGTATTCAACAGAAAAGTCTCTCACTGTCGCTTCTAGTGATACTGGAGTATAAGCCTTATCAAGTCGGAAAATATTTTATGGTCATCAGTAGCGATAACACACAAACCTTGTTATCAACTTTCATGTCTGTTACCTATAAACATTTGAGATCATACTTAAATTAGTCAATTAACAACAATAAAGCCTAATAACATCCCAACGAATTCTCCACCGTAGCAAATATCAAACGGAGAGATTTTGTGCTGACACGAATGTTTCCGAAATCAGTTTTATCCTGAACACTTATTTTATATTTAAAAGGATGTTACGCTCAATCAATGAAGTAGATGCATTTTTTATACAGTGAGCTGAGGTGAACTATAATTAAACCCCACATCATTTTAATGTTAATTGATAAATAACTCATAATTAGAATTCTACTTCAAGTAGGGGCTAATGATATTGTTTAGCAAGTCATTAAAAATTTCTCAACTAGATCATCTATCTCAGATAACGCCATAAAGCAAAACTACTCCGACTGACTTTTCTGTTTACAAAGAATCAACTCAAATTCCTAATATATATTGGCGTTCAGTTAGTTAGCCATTTGTTATGTCTTATGTGATCTATTTGACTTAGATTCGGTGTTCAGTTGTGTAAGTAGATTGTCATTCTTCCTATCTCACTTATTCTGTAAAAAACACCGGTGCATCACAGTAATATAAACGTGATTACCAATCTATAGGGAACGTAGACTATTTTTTTTACATCAAAACCAGTATCAGCATGTTAGCTATCAATGATTACTCGATAATTTCAATAGTTGAGATCATGAGTCAATTGAAACTAGCGCGCCGGGCGCTTAACTAACTAGACCACTGAGCCGGCATCCAACGGTGTTAATGTCCAACTGATAGGTCCCGGGTTCGAATCCCGCGGGGCGATTTGTGGATGCGCACTGCTGAGGAGTCTCACAATAGGACGAAACGGCTGTCCAGTGCTTCAAGGTTTTCCATGGTGGTCTAGCTTCAAATGACTCATGATCTCAACTATTGAAATTACTACAATCTCCACAAAACCCCTTCTGATTACTCGATAATTAGTCAAGATTTATAAATTATAGTCACCCTTTAATTTAATCAACATAGAATGTCTCAGTGGTGTTCATTGAATGAAAAATTATTTTTGTACCAACAAATGTAAGCTATCTTAAAGGAATAACTACTTTTAGCAAAGTATTCGGGAAAAGAAATGTTAATTTTATTATTTATTTTTGTATAATTGATTTGTGAATTACAGAAATTCCTTTCGTATTCTCTAGGGAACTTTGATCCCTATGGGTTGAATTCAAACTTTTAGCTAAATAAATGAAAAGAAAATGTTATATTGTTACTACTCAAAGAAGAAAGCCAATTTAGTTTTCAAAATGGCTAAAAAAAGTTATTGATTGTTTAAATTCATCCATCATCATCATCATTATAAACTTTCATATCTTTATTTCACCAAATATCTAAAATGTAAATATATAGGTGAACTGTTTAATTAAGAGTAATTTCTTATTATTGTTCAGCTGGTATTTGGATTGTAATTTAATTCCAAGAACTACTGACTACTTATAAGTAAAACATTACGTTTAAAGTACAAATTATTTTTCAAATGGATCAAGGAACGTGCTGTCACTGAAAATCATGGAAATTATTATTTCATTTCCCTGGATTTAAAACTCAAGTAAAAACAGAAGGAATGAGGTTGATGAAATACTAATACAGCAAGCAGTAGTTTATTAATTGGAGACAATGAATGACATGATGATAATAGGATATTATGTGGAAGGCTTACTGATTCCGATTCAGATTACATATATAACATGATTCAATAAGGGGCAGTTCCTTTTTCTTTGTTCATACTACATTCTCAACTAAGCCACACTATTAATGTTAGTCAAAGTAATCTACACTCTTTTATGGTATAAATGTTTGAGAAGTTTGGAATTGTTGGTTATGTGATACTCAGTGTATAGTCTCATAATATTAATTAATCGATTTTTTAACAAATCTTTAAATAAATATTGCTAAAACCATGAGAACCCTTTCATAAGGGCATCTATAACTTAGTAAAGCACCCATAGAAATGCTGAAATTTTCCTAAATTACTGAGTAAACTTGTAGATTAAGTGGTCTTTTCTAGATTAAAGAAAACTGATTATGAACCTTGAAAAACCCATAAACCACATAAATACACCACAACAGTGAAGCTTTTGTCATATTTTAGAAACTAGACTTTGATTTTGACAGTCTATAGTACTCACTGGCTAACAAAGAAACTATAACTTCGAGGATCACTTCGGTGTTGCTCAATATAGCTGCTGTAATGAAGCCTGATAATAGGAAACAACAGCATGCGGAATCTTATTCGACGTATAATTATATATTTCTTACTTGAATAGTTTTAATATCTAATTACTGTTTATTATCAGAATGTTTTGATTACATTTAAACAGGAAAAGTCGTGAACAGAAATATGAAAATGATATGGTTAAGTCTCCTGAAGATAATCATAAGCAAAAGTGTGGAATTAAACAAGTTACATTCAGTGGAACGGTAACTATAATTTGTGTATAGTTTTACTTTGGTGAAAGTAATTTTGTACAGGTAATGAATTTATATACATACGCCAAATCTTAACGGAAGGCGAATCTTGTTGGCTAGGCTACAGTGGTATACTGTGTCTTAATCAGTAATGGTTAAGTTAAGAACCATGAGAATACGTTACTGACTATGTTTAGTGACCCAGGTTTATTTCACGCGATTAAAAACTGATATATGTATATATAACGGAAATTTATGATTGATAGATTGAATGACATAATTGTATGTCATTGTGTACAGTGCTTTACAGCAATTTATTCGTTATTTGTATCCTGAATGAAATTCATATTATGTCTATGAAATCTATAACAAAACGAAGAAGTGAAATAAATAATGTATTATTTTGGTTAAATACTAAATAGCTAAAGTTAGGTGAGAGAAGCTGAACAATTCCTTTGTGAGAAAAATAGATTAATACAAACTAAAAATGAAACTGACGTTTTAGACTTTAGACCACCAAAAGTAAAAAAAGCCTGTAGATGCAATAAAAACAATTCGCTCTGAATAGCTATAGAAAATGACTGAGAATTTCTTAATTAATTCCAAAGATCATACTAAATGGATATCTCATTGACTACAAAACCTGACATTTATTATATTTATCTCTAGGAATTATTCATTAAGTCCAATTACGGTCTCATTCGAATTGGAACTAGTGAACACCTGACTTATAAGTCTTACTGAATGGTTAGAGATTTTGTTTTAACATAAAATAACTTTATATGATGAATTATTAAAATCAAAGAACATCGAATAACTACTTCGTTATAGTTTTGGCTTCTTTAGCGGTTAATATCCTAAGTACACCTATCGACAAATGATTGAATTCATTAACCCCCGGCCCCCACTAGAAGGGTGTTATATTTGAATTAGCTTGTCAGAATGCAATCATTCACAATTTATATTAAATTAATTTGTAATATGGTGTTATCACTGCGTTTTTTTAACACTGAAGTTAACTGTTACCACACTTTATGCATAGTATATATATGAGAGCGTATGCATTGTAATATATTTAACTTAAAGCAGGATTCTCCGATACAACACAGAATGCACCAATCCAATCACAATTGACGGAGAAGATTTGGAAGATGTAAAAACCTCTACGTATTTGGGCAGCATCATTGACGAACAGGGTGGATCTGATGCAGATGTGAAGGCGCGGATCGGCAAAGCAAGAGCAGCATATTTACAACTGAGGAACATCTGGAGCTCAAAGCAACTGTCAGCCAACATCAAGGTCAGGATTTTCAATACAAATGTCAAGACAGTTCTACTGTATGGGGCAGAAACCTGGAGAACTACGAAAGCCATCATCCAGAAAATACAGGTGTTTATTAACAGTTGTCTACGCAAAATACTTCGGATCCATTGGCCGGACACTATTAGCAACAACGTACTGTGGGAGAGAACAAACCAGATCCCAGTGGATGAAGAAGTCAGGAAGAAGCGCTGGAAGTGGATAGGACACACATTGAGGAAAGCACCCAACTGCGTTACAAGACAAGCCCTCACATGGAATCCTCAAGGCCAAAGTTGGAGGAGGAGAGGAAGACCAAAGAACACAATACGCCGAGAAATGGAGATAGACATGAGAAAAATGAACAAGAATTGGATGGAACTAGAAAAGAAGGCCCACGACAGAGTGGGTTGGAGAATGCTGGTCAGCTGCCTATGCTCCATTGGGAGCAACAGGCGTAAGTAAGTAAGTAAGTAAAGTATTTCATCCCACAGTTAGTTTTTATGACAAAAGAAAGTTACGTCGATATCGTCATTGTTTTAACGTCTTATCTATCATGAAAGCAAAAAGCAGAGAATGTATTCACCTTTGTGAATTTCACCATTTGTTTTTTTTTTCTCATAATTGGAAGTGATAATTAAGTCTATTAACCACATCAATTTATATACTTTTTTAAAGGTTAATTATGTTTCAACTGAAGATTTTGTTGAGAAAGTCACAATGAAGTCATCCGTAAATGTCAATCAATCAGTGATACCGAAAGCACTGCCATCGCCAATAGTAAAGGGAATATCAACGAAAAAACCATTGTCACCACAAACAACAGTAGTTAATACTAATACTACTAATGCTGCCACTATTACTACGAATATTCCTGAAAGTCCTGTTATTGTATCAAATGAAAAAAGCAATGGTGAATTATTTCTTCAATCTAATGAAGAATGTTCTTTTGAAGAGAAAACAGAGATTCTGCTAAGTAATTCGTTAACTTTAACTTATGCTTATCTTTAAAATCATAATTAATTAATATCACAATTATTCTTCATGAATACTGTACCAGTTATGATATTGTCTTTTTCTCAATAACAATCAACAAGTATCTATAACCAATCTAGTTTCTACGTTTTTTATGATGTTTTGTCTGATAAATAACACTTAGTTAGATAGTTATTTACAACCTAATACCTAAAATCTTCAACTGCCGATGAATGCTACTACACCGTTATTAACAAGGTAGTTTGAATATCCCAACGTGACTCACATCAACAGTCAGTAACATAATGAACTATTGATATCTATATTGATCGTCTCTAAACGTTTTCCAAAAGCGGGTGAAATATTTAGTTGAACAAATACATTGGTATTTTAGTAAACTGTTCATTTATGTAAACTTTGTACATGTTAGATGGGTTATTTTTTCATAATTCACATCAGCTAGGAAATTACTGATTACCTATAAGTATTAGATGAACGTCTCACCCTGTTTCAAAACTTCTCAAAATTAAAAACTGAAATTTACAATCATTATAAGCAAAGATGGATAGTGGCTAGCAGTGGAATCCAGGACGCGCGTTTCGTCCTGTTTGGGACTCGTCAGCTGGATGTACCTGCATCTCAGGGTTGAAATATTCGTGAACATCAACTCTGAGATGCAGGTACATCCAGCTGACGAGTCCCAAACAGGACGAAACGCGCGTCCTGGATTCCACTGCTAGCCACTATCCATCTTTGCTTATAATGCTTGTAAATTAAGGCAATATCGAGGCATACGCACAGTATGCACATATGCCAATAAGAGACTGATCAATTTCAGTCCTAAAATATCAATGGGAAGATTCAAGTAAAACAATATCAAGTGAATTAAAAAATGAAAGTCTAAAAAAATTCATACTATTCAACTGCCGAGTTAAACTCCAACTTTACTTAATTCAAAACATAACAAAAACATCTTTATACAGTAAAAATTTTCACAGACTATCCTGGATAAGCACTAATCCTATGTTTACCAAAGATTTTCTTTTTTAAAGTAGGTTAGTCCATGTTCTAATGAACACATTTTCGAATTTATACCTTAAAATTGTGTTGATTTTGTTCAGAAGAAGTATGAAATTATCCTCTTGAACTAAAACCTTTCACTGACCATCTTTAATATGTCATGAGAAGAACAGTTACCCATTTATAAGATTGGATAAGGAAAGTGTTTTATGAATAAACTACTTCAAGTCGGAAAATGTTTATTAATTATATTTCTATGATTAGTTTTAAACAACGAAGAAGAAGAAGAAGGAAATATCGAATGATCCATAACTTTTCATAAATTTCACGTTTGTCTTTAAAAATAATTTTTACAGTGGGTGTACGCTTTTATTATGAATGAATTGTTTGTACGTCTTTATTTTTCATTTCATTTTCATTCTTTCACATCCTTATTTTAATGAATTGTCCATTCTTTAATTAATTTCATCCATTGAGTCAGTTCTAACAGACAGTTACACTGAGAGTTGAATCAAGTTTTTCTTTATTGCATCACATTTTTTCTGTTTATAAGACTTTTTTCCACATGTTGATAATACTATTGGTGAATGTTGTTTTTTCTTGTTTTTTTTCAGCCAAATCAACTTCATGCCCTAATCAACTGGCACAGCATACATTAAATAATCATTCTAGACCTACATCATTATTTGAAAAGGATTCCGATTATCAATATTATTACTATTATAATAGTGATCAAGAATATGAAAGATTTCCAATATCAGCCACCGTATTATTAGCTATACCTGAAGGTGGTGAAAATGACTACTATGCTGATTCACCACAATGTATAACAGTTAAAGAACTAAAAGAATTAGGATTATATGCTAGTGAAGAGGACGATGATGACGAAGATGAAGATGATGAGAATGAAAGTAACAGGAGTGAAGACAGAAATGAAAACGATACAGGAATAAATGTGTGTGAGTTAGATAATACATTATCAGATGATGGAACTAATAGTCCTAGTTTCATCAATGAAACTGTATCCGATTTTAATGAAGTGCACATTCCAAAAAATATCAGTCTAACACATCATGAAGAAGTAATGATTTCATAATTACATATCTCCCATATTTTAGAATAGCTTCACAAAATAATCATCTTTTCATATTATATTACACAATATACATCGTTTTGCGCAGCTCTACATGCTAGTATTTCAGTCACATACTAGATTTCTTTTATTTCAAGTATTTATTTTTAACTACTTTTAATTATTGTAGTAGTTTATATATTTTTAAGAAAGTTAATTTTATCCTGTATTACCACATTTGTTAATAATTAAATTAAATGATTAATGCATTATTTTGTAGTTAATTAATCAATTCATTTGAACAGGTTATTGGTAAATTCATTAAATGGAATCTTATATAAAGTCTACACAAAGATTTCGTAAAAGTATATTCTTTTAGAAGTTATTTGAAAAAAATTTATTCAATGTCGTTAATCAAAAGGCTAGATACTAAATTTTCTTGGATATTTTCATGTACAGACTAACATATGCAAAATAGAATTTACAAATAGTACACATTTTCATATTACTAATGATTTATTCATAAATATTTATAAATAACATCTAGTGAAATATTTGTTTTTGTTTTTTCACTCGGTAAGGTTTCCATTATTTTGTCGAAGTTGTGGTGGTCGGTATTCGATATAATCCTTAAACTTCGTATACAGTTCGTCCTGATAACCATTCTATATAACGTACCAACGGTATATTAATCAGAAGGCAAATACGAAGTGTTGATTAAGTTTATTACGAGACCACACACATATATCCAAATGTACAGATGCGTTAAACAAGCATAGAAGAGTTGTGCCGAAAGGCAAGCAAGCGAGCGGGAGCCAGAGCAAGAGCGAGACGAGAGTGAGTGAGTGAGTGAGTGAGTGAGTGAGTGAGTGAGTGAGTGAGTGAGTGAGTGAGTGAGTGAGTGAGTGAGTGAGTGAGTGAGTGAGTGAGTGAGTGAGTGAGTGAGTGAGTGAGTGAGTGAGTGAGTGAGTGAGTGAGTGAGTGAGTGAGTGAGTGAGTGAGTGAGTGAGTGAGTGAGTGAGTGAGTGAGTGAGTGAGTGAGTGAGTGAGTGAGTGAGTGAGTGAGTGAGTGAGTGAGTGAGTGAGTGAGTGAGTGAGTGAGTGAGTGAGTGAGTGAGTGAGGAGTGAGTGAGTGAGTGAGTGAGTGAGTGAGTGAGTGAGTGAGTGAGTGAGTGAGTGAGTGAGTGAGTGAGTGAGTGAGTGAGTGAGTGAGTGAGTGAGTGAGTGAGTGAGTGAGTGAGTGAGTGAGTGAGTGAGTGAGTGAGTGAGTGAGTGAGTGAGTGAGTGAGTGAGTGAGTGAGTGAGTGAGTGAGTGAGTGAGTGAGTGAGTGAGTGAGTGAGTGAGTGAGTGAGTGAGTGAGTGAGTGAGTGAGTGAGTGAGTGAGTGAGTGAGTGAGTGAGTGAGTGAGTGAGTGAGTGAGTGAGTGAGTGAGTGAGTGAGTGAGTGAGTGAGTGAGTGAGTGAGTGAGTGAGTGAGTGAGTGAGTGAGTGAGTGAGTGAGTGAGTGAGTGAGTGAGTGAGTGAGTGAGTGAGTGAGTGAGTGAGTGAGTGAGTGAGTGAGTGAGTGAGTGAGTGAGTGAGTGAGTGAGTGAGTGAGTGAGTGAGTGAGTGAGTGAGTGAGTGAGTGAGTGAGTGAGTGAGTGAGTGAGTGAGTGAGTGAGTGAGTGAGTGAGTGAGTGAGTGAGTGAGTGAGTGAGTGAGTGAGTGAGTGAGTGAGTGAGTGAGTGAGTGAGTGAGTGAGTGAGTGAGTGAGTGAGTGAGTGAGTGAGTGAGTGAGTGAGTGAGTGAGTGAGTGAGTGAGTGAGTGAGTGAGTGAGTGAGTGAGTGAGTGAGTGAGTGAGTGAGTGAGTGAGTGAGTGAGTGAGTGAGTGAGTGAGTGAGTGAGTGAGTGAGTGAGTGAGTGAGTGAGTGAGTGAGTGAGTGAGTGAGTGTCGAATATGAATAACATGGACATATATATACCATGTGAAATGAATGAGTAATCGAATCAAATAAGCAGTTAGTAGTAAGACTAGCAGAGTGAATAAATGCGTAGGCCGTAAGCAATATTCTAGCATACGTATTTCATACAAGCACAAAATAATAAGAGTACAATAAGTTGTTATAGTGCGGATGACTTTTTCCGCTAAATGAGTTAGCAAAAGGGCTTAACTGAGTTAAATGAGAATAAACTCTATTGCACGTGAGTCGCTATAAAGTCTCGATTATTTCATACATTGAATATTGTAGATAATACATTTTCATTCCTCAACCAAACTGTTCAATTTAGAATTATTGTCTCCTTGTGGTGATTGGAAATGCTAGATCCTGTAAAATGTACACTTTAAAAAAACATCATTTAAATGTATAAGCAATAACACATAAGTATACAGGATATACTGATTGATCAAACAACAAATCAGGAAAGTGATTTTGTTATTTTATAATATGTAAAATGGGAAAATTAATCAATCTTTATAACTTGAACTAATCACAAACTATTTGTAATTCATATCTCATATAACAGGTCATTAAATTATGTCTTAGATTAGAGAAACTTGTCAGGCTCGTAATACCGTGATTCCTTGTCGTCAACACATTAGAGTAGTATTATTACGGTTAGTATGTATGATAATTGTCCACAAAATTTATTATGTAATTTGTATGAGTTACAGTATAACCAAGCATTTTACTTGTAAAAGACATGTCATGCAGTCTCAAAAACTAGATATTTAATTATGAGGAACGATAAAAAGTTTAAGAAAATAAGGATGACTTTTTTTCAAATAGCTATCTTAGTTTATGCTAACAAAATTTGAAGATAGTGACGGTTCACCTGACAGAAGTTTAACAATTGTTAAAATGAAACTCGGACACTGTGACGACGGACCACGGGTGAATTCGAGGAAGCTGTAAGAGGCTCAGAAGGAGCCGAAGATGTTCCATCCATTCACCTTTGGGAAGAATATTCTAGAATTCCTACATGTAGCTTCCCGATTGGACAATGCTAATAGCCACCTGTATGCGGATTGGAAGACTGTAATGATGATTTCGTTCTTACTAAAAACTATAAATACCTGACAATCTTGTACTATAATTGATACTGGAATAATATTCCTTTCATTAGTCTTCTGTCTTCTTATTGCGACTTGGAAGGGTTTTGGTGTTCTGATGCTCTGTTATACGTGGTATATCAATAAATCAACACTCAACATATAACAGACACACATATAGCTGAATTGATTGTTTGTTTTATAGAGAACCAGTGAATTACTCAATGTAAATATGGAGCTCCCATATCAAAATAAATTAAGCAACAATCATTTTTAAATTCAGTAGTTCTAAAAGCACCAGTCATTCACTTCAAATCACTTCACGGATTTACAGTTAAATGATACTTCATTTCATTAGTTTCGCCTTGAAACTCATCAAATAGTTACTTCTAAAAATCGAACACATCCTCATTAACTTGACACACTTTAGCAATACTCTTTAGTCTGATAAGATGTTATGTATTATCTTACCAACTTTAAGGTGCTTATTTACTGGAGTCAATAATTTATGGATTTCACTATTCTGATAACCCCAAAAATATAAATGACTTTCACTTTACCTGTTATGTCCACTAAGCATGCTGACGTTGATTGCCCCCGCACAACTTATGCTGATCTTGACAAATCGGACTACGAGGAATGCCATCTGATTTACTCTACCGTGTATAACTAAAAAATAACATGATAATATTTGTCAGTTCCAAGAACTGAACTATAAGTGATGAAGTACAGTTTGTGCATAACTTGATCATTTATAGTATAAAACAGAATAACAAGTGCATAAATGAAATAACGATTATTCATAAACCGTAAAATCTATATCTATAGTTAATAAATTACATGAAAGCTTTCAATTAAAACTGTATAAATCATAAATCAAATAGTTGATACATAAACCTTTCCCAGTCATTCACCCGTATCTAATTATATTATTTAGCATTAAACACCATAATTTTGAGATTTTCACTAAATCAATCAACATTGTCCATGTCTTTTAATAAAACGCCATGTTTCCCCTAAAAAATTTCAGTTCTGCAAATAACTAAATATTTTCTGATGTTCGTCTTTAGCAAATGATTGATCACCGGATAGTGATCAATGTCATGTATGTCAAGTCCTTCTCAGTGCAAATTGAATGCTATCGACCAAGTTGCAATGTGGCCACTAGTCTAGGTGACTCGACATTGTGTGGACTATGTAGAAATAAGATTGTGGTTGGAGGTAGTCGATAGGATTCGATAAGTTTCGTGCTACTTGGCACTCGTTAGTTTGGTGTACCTGTTATGTTGAAGGAACTGATGCTCCTTAATGGATTCAATCCCGTGTCATTCAGTTTCATAGCCAGAGACGTTACCACTAACCTATCCGGGCAGCGACTGACCTCCAGTAAGAATGAGATATGTTTACAATTGATTTACTAGTAAAGTGTATAGTGTAAGCTGTATCTTCTTACTGGGAACTTCATACACTATTCAAGCACACCACTCTTATTCATATAATAAAAGATTAAGTACATAGCAAGAAGTTTAAAGTTTGGATAGAAAATAAATAAATGGAAAGTCATTTTCATCTTTCAATTAGAAGGAAGACAAAATATCGAATTTATGGTGACATGTAAATAATATGATTAGTCAAAAGAAATATCTCTTTACAATTGAATCCCGTGATAAATTCAAAATAAACCAAGAATAATTTGATTCAGTCAGCTTAATGTTACAATTAGTAATGTTCATATGAGTAAAGTTCTACATAACTCAGTCGGAGACGTTGACTTTAAAATGGCGGGGAAATATATAAAAAGTACGGATAAGAAACGAAATATTTAACATAATAGTTAAGATTCATAAGTATATATTTTAGCATAGAGATATTGTGGAAATAGTCAAATTTCCCTAAATTAAATCACTGACTGATCTTGATTAAATCATGATTGTAAACTAGTACGGAACTCTTCAGTAGTGCACATCCGTGGCCATATCACTTGGGAACGGC